TCATTATAGGTGCAATCTAATGAGCTCGTCCGGATTTGTCGATTATATCCTAGGTCGAGTTGGCCAGACAACCTTTTAATTAATGACTGATGTTGATTTTACTGAGAATATAATATGGCACCTCATCGCCCGTCGTCCTGTTTTTCCTGAACCTATTCCAATGAAATAGCTTTTACTTAAATAAGAATTATTCAACTCCAATGCTAATCAAGTGGGTGCATTAAAGTGCAGCTGCAGTGGGGAGGCTGATACAATTAACTAGTTGCGTTAACTGTGGAATTTGCTAGTAGTGTTGCTTAAACTTGCTCTAATCTTTCAGTTGTACGTCATCGAACTGTGGTGTATTAACTGTTCGGTTGCCCCTGTGGCGGAGATAGTTCAAGGGATCGTTGTCAGAGCGATTTTATTCGTGACATCATCATTGTTGTAACCTTTCATGAGAGGCTAACTCATTTATCTGCTACGCTGACCAATGTTTCTGAGATGGCTTCTTGAGTAGTAGTGATTGTGAGTCATCAATGGTGAACCCCATATATGGAATATATTGGTACGGTACTCATTGTGGTTGCTGTGTGGCAGACTACAGAGAGCACTGCTACAGACACTCGTAATGAGGTGATGCGTCACACATGTGGCTCCCACACAGCGCACATAGGCATATGTAGATGTGTATAAGGTGTGCAAGTCGTGCGAGGAATTTCATTAGGTATTGATTGAGATCGGCTGCTGCTTCCCAGGGAGCAAATCATCATAAGGTATCACCGTACTTGTAGATTATTAATTTATAGGCTCTGGTTCAGCGTGTGTGCTGACACATGCAATCCTGTGCGGTGGTAAGCGGTGGTAATTTACATATCCGGGAAATTGGCCTCTTTACATTCGTTGCCGGGAGTTTCACATGTATCTCTAATATATAATCGCGTGTGTAAACTCGCTGTACTATATGATATATGCACATCTACCGTGCTGCGTGCGTGTTGGTTGCATTGCCGTGTTACGAGTGCCTGTGGCGTGAGTGCAGGAGGTACACAGTGAGGCAGATGGGGTCGTTGTCGTATCAGGTACTACAGATATGTACCCGAGGTAGTTTTAGGTTGTTTAGTATTATGTTTATATTTTTATGATAGGTATGTTAGCGGTTAGGGTTAGGGTACAACTTTCTGTAGTACAGTTCTGGATATAACTTTGGGTAATATATTATGTACCTCGGGTACATTCTGTAGTACTGAACCGACACAGCGACCCTTGAGCCACAGATGAGATGAAGTGCCACAAGCCAAATCGCTGTGTCTACCCACGTCACGCGTCTGCATGGTACGGCCTGTTGAAACATGCTGGGGCATAATTAAAAGAAATGTTTGTTTGCCCTGTCGCCGACCCAGGCTGAAAAGTTGGGTTAGTAGAGGTCGCGCTTTTTTGGGCCAAACACAAATTTTTTGGAGAGTCTTTTTAGCAAAATTCGGCATGGCTGTCTACATGCCCTCAGCGTGTGCTATGGTGGACGAACCTTTTATGTTGAATGTTGTTTGCTTGTTTCACATAATGTATTGGCTACAGATTTATATAATGTTCAGTGCATACAATTGTTAAAAAAAAACCATCATCCAATTTTTTGAGTACAACCTCTTTTTGGCGGCGGTCGTCGTGGTGAAGGGCAAACCAAACAATATTTTTATATTTCCTAGGTCGGGCAAGAAGGCATCTTTCACCCTCGTCGGGCGTTTACT